AGTAAAATTATAGGATTATTTGATTGATGACCGCTCACATCAACTAAAATAAATGATCACCTATAAACACAGTCATCAATCTTGGAGCCCATTGGCTGTCGTTTGATGATGAATCAGCCTCTGGGGGCAATGGTCAATATTTTGGGGATTCTGATATAAAAGTGGATCGAAGACAAGATTGTCTTCTGTTCCATACACAGGTTACAGTCGGACTAGCGATGTGAGACATGGAGTTAAGAAGATATCTACAGCTGCACGTTTTTTGACATCTAGCAAGTTCACATTAAGAGTTTAACATCCAGACGACGTTTTGTCCGATCTAAGTCTGCATATGAAAGCAGATAAATTAAAAAGCCAATAGCTGTTTAATGAGTTCCACCTCATTTGCTCTTGGACTGTTTACCTCCGGGCAACCAGAGCCTGCTCAAACAGGATTCAAACTAGAAACAGAAACATATATTCAAAGATTAAGAAGAAAATACCTTGATAATATAAAAAAAACAGTGCTGCACAAATGTCATTGAAATAGTTGAAAAAGTGTGGTCAGGCATGTCTTTGTGATATCAATTAAGAGGAAACAGAAAAACATCTTTAAACACATTTTAAAGAAAACAGAGGAGGTCGGAGATCTAATTGTTGGCAGCCAATTATTGCACATCTTAGGGCCAACAGCAGAAACTGCTCAGTCACCTTTGGTTTCTTAAGTGCGTGCGTGGAATGTAAAGCAGCAGTCTGGAGGTGGAATCAGCGATGAGCAGTTCAAAGACGAGACCTGGTGCCAGTTCATGCAGAGCTTTAAAAACAAATACAAGAATCTTATAATAAATTCTGTTCTCCACTGGTAACCAGTGAAGAGAGGCCAGTGCAGGGGAGATGTGGTCTCTCTTAGTTCCAGTGAGGAGTCTGGCATTATGAACCGGCCGCGGGCAAGATGGGTCTGATTGACTGATTCTTACACAGAGTTGCACTAGTCGAGCTGAGAGGAAATAAAAGTGTGAACTACAGTCCCCGGATCTTTAACGGACGGGAACGGCTTTGAATTTCTCAAGTGATCCAAGACAGAAGAAGCCAGCGCTGACAGCCGAGTTGATTTTTTGCTCATGAAATTTTAAACCAGAATCAAAGATAACACAGGGATTTCTGGAGTGGGACTTTCACATTCGGTGACAAAGGCCCGAGGGGATCGATTGTGGTTGAGGACTTGTCGTCCAAGATTCGGACGTCGAGACCTTAACTGATAATGATCTGACTGAAGAACTCTCAGAAACCCTGAGAGAACAGTAGTAAAGGATCATAAATTATTGGCTCAAGACTCCATGTAGTTATAGCTGCTCATGCTCTGTTTCAACATTACCTGGTTCTCTTGATATAAAGACTTAAAAGAGACTATTCAATGATGGAGATAAAGCAGCTGGAGCACTGTTGTTGTTAATATTAGATTGTGAAACTGTTATGAATCAATATATCAATAGAAATATGAAATCTATTGTCACACAAGATGCTAGAATTGTACCAGTGTCCAAATGTGTAATATATATTTGTCTTATTTTCAGTTTTGTGCATGGAACCCCCTAAAACCTTTCTTAAAAAAAAACCTTCAGAAACCCACAACACTCAAAGTTGGGCAATCTACTGCAGTAAAAGTTAGCTAGTGTTCGGGTTATCTCGGGACACTGAGCAGCTGAAACAGAGAAGCCTCTGCTGGAACCCACCATCAGCAGTTTTTAAGCAGCCTGTTGTGTTGACCTAACATTCCTATATGTATTTTCCCATCTATTTCCTGTACAACAAGGAGCTTCACAAAAAAAGCACAACAGCCATGAACTCACCAGTACGTCCCATTGTGGCCAACCTCAATATGAAAACCCAGGCCTTTGCAGAACACATCAGCTAAATGGACTGTAAGATCAAGTTCACACGAGAGGATGTCAGGAACAGCAGCTTGGCTTTCTTGACTGTGCTGTGCAAACTCAAAAAGACAGGAGCCTCCGCATTGGAGTACACAGGAAACCCACACATACACACTAATGCTTACTCTTTGACTCTCACCACCCACTGGAACAGAAGCTAGGAGTTTTTAGAACCCTGCAACATTGAGTTGATGGTGTGCCAGCAAGTGCCCAGGCCCGAGAGAAGGAGCACGAAGACAAGAAGGATGCACTAGAAACTTGTGTAAACCGAACTGGACTTTTTGGGGGAAAACAGCCACAAGATCCAGGTGGTGAAGAAAACAAGAATAAACACAACAGCATTGTAGTTGCATGTCTGTGTCTGCAGTAAAACTCAGGAGGGTCTTCAACATGCAACATTCAAAACATCTGAAAGACCGCACATCCAAATGCAAGTAAAGCAATGTAGTTTATGTCATCCAATGCACTGACCTCTGGATTATTTTCCTGGAGTTTTCAGGAGGGGCTGTATGTTATGACGCAAATGTCCGCGGCAGTTGCTCCTGACCATTGTTCGCAAATTGTCCTTCCAGGCCCACGGTAACTTGAGTAGTCGTATAGAAACTATCCCACAACAGAAGCAGACGTCAACAATATGACTTCTCCCTGACCGGCTCTGCTGACCCTTCATCCCTTCACAGGAGATTTAACAACCATTCACACTTGGCCTCATGCACCAGGAGCACTAATGAAACAAGTGACATTCAAGTAAGTCCAGTTGGCCTCAGTTTAGTTCTTCTCGAAGAACCATGACCTGGATCACTGCGATTCTTAACAGACAATCATACTCGACCTTTCTGCTTTACAAGGCAGCAGCATTGACTCTAATATTTCTTAAGATTTGGAAAGAATAAAGTATTTTCTCTTTATTCTGAAATTCTTCACAGAGAAGGGTTTTTATCTTCTGCCGTATCTTACCTTCCTACAGTCAGCACAACAGAAAACTAAAGATCACCCCATGTGGTGTCTGAACAAGTACTTGTTAGTCAGAAGCAGTGTGTTGTGACTTGAGTGGTGCAGGCTGTGATAAAACAGGAATGTCCTCACTGTACTAATCCATCACCTTCTGTTCTTGTCTTTTATGCTGAACATTGTTGCATCAGGTTTAAATCCCGTTCTCTCTTCAGATGCACATTAGTTGTTAGAGTGAAAATGATCGGACAGTTAGGCTACATCCGCACCACTGCGTCTTCGTTTCAAAATGCATCAACCCTGCTACAGATACACTCGGTGTCCACACTATTACAGCTGAGAAGACTGGAAACGCTGTCGGTGGTATTTTAGTTGGAAAATCATGTTAGCCTAAACGGGCAGAAACAGAGATGTATGGAAACAATTACGTACACACACACTCGGAATCTTTTCGTCCTGATTCCTCAAGCTTCGATCACGTGACCCCCTCTACAGGAGGAAACAACTGGCGTTAGCCTCAGCGACCAAAGCAACATGCAATCAGTTGCAAGTGTTTTTGACCCAGTTGTCTTTGCTTTGCTGAGCATTTACTGAGCATTTTTGCAACAAGATAACAGAATAATTATTTCAGCAATCTGTGACAATTCCTGCGTTGCCTAACCTGCATGTACGAGAGTGGTCCAGGTTTGTTGATCAGGGATTACAAGCCAAAAGACTCATGTGGACTTGGATCTGTTTGGTTTCTAAATGTAATTTTCAAAATAAAACATAGATGCAGCCTTGAGAGTTAGTGATGAAGACTGATGAAGACCTTCATGACAGTGTCACAGATGTTGCACCTGTTACCCAGCAGGCTGCATATTCAGCAGCAAGTCAAGTGCTCGTTCACTGGTTCAACCGTGTTGTATTATCTGCATATGGAAAACTGATTTTTAATCAATGCGGTGGAGACATCATTCATATCCTGCTCCCCAAGACTGTAACTTTAATGCACTCACGAGAGGAGGAGGAGAAGTGAATATTACAAATGATGTCGGGAAACTAACTGGGTGCGTACAAAAAAAAAAGACAAAAAAATACTGTAATTACTTTTTGATGGATATTAAACACGACTAAACAAGCCACTAAAATATGATGGAAAAGCTTGCATATAAAACACAATAGTTATTGTCTGCAGTTTGTCGTCTCATTGCCTGGCAGTAAAAACAGCATGTCAGGTTGTTTTAGTTGCATTCACATTCGTGCCCCCTGAAGTGAAAACCACGCTATGACAAACAGTCAGCAACTGGTGAAAGATAATTATCTCACCCAACGATGATTTCCGACTCCATGATTTCCACCATCTTTTTTGGTTAAAATGAGGAAACTAGACAAAGATTTAAATTTAAAAAATCCAGATGTGGATACAAGCATCGACTAGAAATAACCTTTCCAACCACAGAGGAATTATATATAAATTGAATTCTGTGTCTTAAGAGTTCTATATGTTACTCACGCAGGCGCTGGTGCACGTCCTAGAGAGAAAATGAAAATGTTCACAAAGATCAGCAGCAGCCGTGTGGAACTTTAAAACCATCGTAACAATTTCAGAAAGTGATGCAGCATTTTTTTTCCCCCCTCATTTTTTTAAATGTCGCTCTACATTTCCTCTGTTCTGCTCATTTAAGGTTGTTAGGTGCTTCCTTATCGGTGTAAGCGTTACTGTTTTGTGATATAAAAATTTGATATAACTCAGTAAACGAACAATGCAGAAAAGATGTGCACTTTTTTTTAAAGTGATATTTAATTCATTGTTAAATTTGTGGTCATTAGGGTTTGATAAAGACATCCAAGGAATCTGTATGTATCGGTGCATGAAATGATTTACCCCCAAATATCAGTATCGGCATCGTCCCCACAAAAATCCACATCTGTCGTGCTCTACTTTCTTACATACGAACAGTGTGTTTCCAAACAACATCTGGCAGCTTCATTAACACTCCTCGTCTTTTCAGTATCAATAGAAATCAGAATCACAGTATTTTTCCTGTCTTATGTTTGTGTAAACTTTCCATCTGAAATGAGCTGATCTCGTCTCGTTATAAATAATTGATTCCGTCCTGATGTGTGTCCTTCCATCTGCCATCACAGGAACAAGGACCACATGGACGGAGTCTCTCAGGTTTATTTAATGGTTTAACATCGTCCCAAAATAATTAACCGGCGAACGACCAAACATCCATCACGGCTACAGCTCCATATATCAAACAGGTAACGAGCAACAAACACACACACACACACATTTGTAATTAATGCACCGTATGTGTGTGTCTGTGTGGAGCTGTGGAGATGAACCAGGCACGCCTCTCTCACACACACACACACACACACACACACACACACACACACACACACACACACACTTCTCATGACTCAACAAGAAGAGCAGGAAATGAACGGAGAGTCTCTGACTTCCTCTCTGCTCTCACACAGGAGATCATCTCTGCAGGCCACTTACCTGCTTACCTCTCCTCAGTGCTGCATCTTCATCACATCATGGCATTAATGTCTCCGTCTTTCATTACACCTGCACTAATTTGATATGGCTGCGCACTGCACATATCCCCCCCCAGTGATCTTCTGCTTAAGTAATAGAATATTACAGACATTAGTAGCTCAATTAATGGTGTGTGTGCATGTGCGTGCCACACAGAGCATCATTTTATTTTATGGAGATGTTTAATGAATGACAGAATAAAAGAAAAGGCAGTGCATCGTACAATAACATTAAAATAGTTAAACTAGGGTTACCTCACCTGGGAGCGTGAGTGCTCTGCATACTGAGGCTTGATTCCTCCTGCAGTGACTGCGTGTCTTCCCCATTTCACGCTTGGACTGTCCCTTCAGTGAAGGCGAAATGCCCAGAATATGTCTTTACATCTTCTTTTTAAAAACGCCTACACATGTAGTATTGCACTCATTTCACTGAATTGCCACCAGTGACTGTTAATAAAGACGGACGATGCAGCTCCACTTCCTCCCGAGGGACAAAAAAAGGCCAAGATATCCGGGATGTGGATGCTGCAACGTGCTGGCGACGTCTCTTGGAGCAGGAGTCTGAGCAGTAAACATCATGGTGCGGAGCCGAGGTATCATCGTCCCCGCAACTCCCACGTCCTCGACCGATTGCGAGTCAATCAAGACGCTTCACCATGTTTTACGAAACATGACCACTTGAGCACATGAGCTAAAAACGACATTTAATAACAGATACATGTATACGCATGGTTTTTTAGTTTGGTTCATGTCCCATTCATCAACACGGAGGAGGTGGCGTTCATGACTTTTACTGCGGGTGGCCACCAGAGGGTGATATAGATATTTTTGCTTAACTTTTAGCATGAGGCCAGGTCGTACATCTTTACAAAAACATCATACTTAATCACATTATCATGATTATTAGTTTCGCTGGTTTTACTACTTATAGAAACACAATAAAATAAACATTAACATTTCTGTTCTATTCTTTAAACTACTGATATTTCTCCGACATTCTTCAGACACTTCCCTTCATATGCAGATTAAAGACAAACGTGTAGAGGTCTTTTAATTTTTCCCGGGGCTAAATATTCGGGTTAAATTGGACAAATTAAAAAATATTAGTCAAAATAGTAGACAAGGCTGTTTTGAAAAGCGAGTCACTCAGTTTTTCTCAAGGTGATCACACAGATCCTCTTGCCAGGAAACAAAAGCACTAAGAAAGAAAGGGAGGTGTAATTTGTACGTATACAAATGTCAAAAAGTCAAGGCGTGTAATCCTTTCACGAGGTGATGGGGTCTTTTGTTAGAGCTTGGCATGACTCCAGACACCCACACAGGAAAAGTGCTCACTCCAAGTTCTGGAGATGAACACCGAGTTCTGATCCCATTTACCTCCCCTCTCTCCTGTGCGTTTCCTTCCCCTCTCTCCCTCTCTCCAGCTTTGAAGGGGATTATTTTGGTATCAGTGCATATGGATTTACAGTCGTAGTGTACATGTATCCTGAGCGCCATGTTCCATTGTTCCACAGCCGCCTGCAGCGTTCTTTTAGAGCATGTTTTCCTAAGATGTACGAGGACGGGGGAGGTGTATGTTTGAGGGGAAGAAGAAAAAAAAAAAAAAATCATATCACTACAAATCCTCTCTCCATTTCCCCGATGATGATTTTCCTCCCAGACGGTGTTAAAACATTTCGGAGGCATGGAGCTGTCAGAGAGAGAGAGAGAGAGAGAGAGACCTCGGGGTAGATACCAGCCCAGTTAAACATTAACAGCATGTTTGGCATTTATTCTGACAACCAATCAATTAGTAATTATTTGCTCTAAATTATAATGTATTGATTTACACGTCCCTTTAAGGATCAGTGTGTTGTATTTAAGGGGCTTTATTGGCAGAAATTAAACATGATGATGTATTCATTTGTGTTTAATCACCTGAAACTGGGATTTTACACATTTGAAATGAGCGTCTCATATCCACACAGGGACGTGTTGCATCGTCATGTTTCTGGATTGGACAACGCAGGAGGAAGGGGAGGGGTCTTCACTCGATACCGACTAACTAAAGGATCACACAAGTTCTGATTTACTTAAGTTAGACTTGAGTTAGCAACAAAATAAGAATCCCATAGATCTTAATCAAATCAAGATATAACCGTGTGTGTATGTGTTCATGGTGAGATTAAGCATCCATGGTTTTTTTTTTTCATCACAGCCCGAACAGCTTTTGGTGGTTGGTATTGAGAAGTAAAAGGATTCCAATAACAAAATCGACTGGTAAATATATATATTATAAATATATATATATATATACATGTATACCAAATTTGGCAATGAAACAAATCCTGTAGGTCGAGACGTAATTATAGTTTCCATGTATTCCTCCACTACTTTTTAAAACTTTTAGAAATTTAATGATCTCCACAGGAAATTTCTTTTTGTTGTAATTGCTCAACAAACGGTTTGGAAAAAGGAGTAAATGGGTGAAAAAGGCACCAAAGATACAGCAATTATAAATCTGGTAACGATAACAAATGTGCAGTGAAGAGAATAATGTGCATAAAGTAATGTAAAGTGTAAGGTAGAATCACAGTAAATACAAAAGGGGAATGTGCAGTATACTAAAAGTAATTTAACCTTAAAGTTAGACCGTCACATGTAACGTAGTTCAGCTGAGTCCTGATGAAGGAAGGATCCTGTGGCTTTCAGTGGATCACTTCGTTATCATATTCTACTACATCTTCACCTTTTTATTTGTGTCGTGTGTGAAATTACCACTGAGGAATACACTACTTTGTGCAATAAACTGTGTAGAACTTTGCACAAATACCACATTTATACTGTACATTTCATATTGCTTTCATCTTAACATCCTTTTTTTTAATTACATGTATGTTCTATATATATTATAGAATAATGCATATGCTTCTTATTTTTTACACACTACTTACATCTAATATAATTCTCTAAGTATATATATATATATATATATTTCTATTCTTCTGTTAGAGTAACTGTGAAACCCGATTTGCCCCAGAGATCAATAGTTGATGAATGTTGAGCAACACGACAGATTACCCAAACCTTCACTATTACACTGCTTTTACTAGATAACTGAGACCAGACTTCACAAACTGTGTGAGTTTGAACTCATGTGTCATGCCTCCACTCTGTCATGTTTTAGTTTGACATCAGTCATTAAAGTTAAACGACTGATTTAATATATGACACCAGATAAATCTTCTATGAATCTGATTGATCCTTGTTTTAACCCAGGAACACTGCAAAGATCATTTCTATCACATGTGGCTTTCATATCCTCTTGTGTAATCCCCGTCCCACCTGCTGTGACATGGCAGCAGATTAACGCCATCCTGCATCCGAGCACCAGCTGCCTGTCAGGGTTTCAATTGATTTCTCTTTTTTGGGGGATATTTTACAGAGTTCTTTTAACTCTCGACAAGGCCGGGACGTTTCTCAAATGTTTTTACTTCCTTTAAAAGATGGAATGTGCTCTGACGTTGTCACATTGGGCCCTTCTGGACATTTTGAATTCCTGGCACAGGTCCACGTACAGAGTGGATGATCGGGCTTCTTCCTCTGAAAAGTCCTGTCAGAGGAGCTGAAAACGAAAACATCTTTATAATCAGCCCTCATATTCTTTCCATTTGTTGTTGCCCCTGTCGTTGGATGGTTGGTCGGTTGGATGGTTGGTTTGTTGGCAGGATTGCGCAAAAACTACTGAAACGATTTCCACAAAACTTTGCTGGAAGGATGAGAGATGAACAAAGAAAGAATCCACCTGGAGTAGATCCAAGTGGGCAGATTCAGGAATCTCTTTCTTTAACATTTCACCGATTACCGTGGGAATAATTCATGGATCTTGAAGAAGAACAGGCACATTAAGGGAACTGATCTATGAGTGTGTGCAATGTTGTTGCAGCCTGATTGGATTTAACAGGACTTGGTGGTGTTATGACCTCTATTGAAGCCGTTCTTGTTTCCTTTGTGTGTTTTCCTTTTTAGCTCTCACCTTTTAATCTTACTAACTTCTTAAATGCAAATTAGTTTTGTCCTCCACTGTGGGATGCTGTTTTCTAATGTAGTGCAGTAAAATCATATTGCGGCCACAGTTAGTATGAACAATACTGAGCGGTAACTTGTAAGTGTACTCCTACTCCTGTCAAATAGTTTTATTCTAACAGAGTGGGATGACCTGGAAGTGTCGGAGTGGCAGCCACGATGAGCGCTGGTCAAATTGACTTAATGTAAAGAAAAGGTTTTTTCCTCACTTCTCTTCTTATCACCTTCAGCGTTGGACACACTGGAACGAGAAAGACACAAAAATGACCCACAATTCCTCAGGGAGGCAACATTCAATAACAATGCTTCCGTGTAAATGTAGAAACAACAACAGAGCATCTGATATGTGACATGGTGAAAAAAATACTTCAACTTCATACATATAGATTCATTCTCTTTCAAATACACTCTGTACATAGAAATGTTTTACTAAAATCATGTTTTGTATTAAATCAATATAAATGGTCAACAGCACCCATATACTACAAAGCTATATAAACTATGTCTTTACTATTTAAATTCACTCTGGGTCCTTAATCAATTCCTTATTTTTAGACTTTTAGACTTTCTCTGCTTCTATATTGATGTAATGTTTGTTTTTAGGTCCAAACACCGTTAAGTTTTTACTTACAATCATAAATTCTTGTATG